GAGAATTTCTCTGATTTGTTTGGTTTGGAGAGAATTTCTCTGATTTTGATGCAGAGAAATTTGTGAATTTGTTAGTAAAAATTGTATTGTTGGCTTACATATTACACAAAGTCAGAGAAATTCTTGTGAGTAGAGCCAGAGAAATTTGTTAACTCAAAGAAATTTTCTCTGACTCTATTCACAAATATTTGAAAATTTCTCTGGATTTCATAAAACAATAGTGTCTTTACAATTCAGAGAAAATTGGTTAAAATAAATCCAAAGAAACTTGAATATTCTCTGATTTATAAATAAACTCAGAGAAATTTGAATTTGAATTTGAACCCAGAGAAAATTGGATAAAATGATTTCCTAAAATAATGTTGTGTCTTTACGATCTAGAGAAAATTGGTCAAAATGACCCAGAGAAATTTGAATTTTCTCTGGGTTGCACCCAGAGAAATTCTTTGGAAAATCTAGAATTTCTTTGGAGAGAATTTCTCCGGGAAGAATTTCTCTGGATTGAAATTTCTCTAGATCAATGTTGAGGGGCCTTAGACATTATAAAAATATTGAATGTCTCTTATGCTATAAAATTTTAATATCAGGGACCCTAAAAAAAAAATCCCATTAAACTTTTACTATCCTTCTACACGTATAAAATTCAACATTTAGCTTAGTGGGTTGGGATTAAAAAAATATAAAAGACAAAATAAGTGAAATAAGTTAATAAGATAAAATATCATATTTAAATTATAATCATTTCATTTTCTTTCATAAAAGTTAAAAAAACTAACCCAAACGAACTTTTAGGTCTATTTTGAGAAGTAGGTTGAAAACTAATTTTTTGAGTTTTTTTTTTTTTTGAAAAAACATGTAAAAAAACCCAATTGGCAAAATAGGCATTAGGCCTCGTTTGGCAACTACATGTTTTAATCAAAAAGCCACTATAAGTTGTCACATCACTTTTTCTACTTTTCTGTACATCTTTTTATAAAAAGTCAAAAAAATTACTAAAATAATTTGTTCTCAACCAAGACTTCAAGCTAAAAAAGTCCCTAACTCAAAAAAATCAACTAAAGTATTTTTTGTGAAGTGACAACTTATGCTTCTTTTGACAAAGAGATTAAAAACAATTTTTTTAACTTTTTAGATTATATCACCTTTTTATTTATTTTTTTAAAAATTAAAAAATTAACTTTTAACTTATTTTCCACACCATATTAAAAAACCAACTTTTAACTAGTTGTTCTTGATTTGTTTTGAAAGTTTGAAGGTTTTTTTTTTTTTTTTGGAAAGGACTTCTCTCAATCCAATCACGAACTAGAGAGTATTGTTAGATCCATAAAAACTCACCATGGGTCCCGTTTTGATAATCCAAACCATTTAATATGTAAAAATCGTCGAATATTATATACCTATAAAAAAATTATGTTGATCAGATATCGATAGTTATGTGATCAAATTAGTTTTGTATGAAAAAAATGTACGGTAAAAAATAAGCAGTTTACAAAAATCTGATTATATCACATAGCTATTGATGTCTGATCAATGTGATATTTTACAGGCATATAGTACTTGACAATTTCTACATATTGAACGATTCAGATTATCGAAATGAGACCCATGGTAGGCTCTCACGGATATAACAATACTCTCTAATTCGATCACATATGACAGAGAATTCTTTCCTTTTTTCTTTTTTTTTTAATGTTGAGTTGGTTTAAGCCTCCGTTTGGGAAGTGAGTTGGCTTTTTGACTTTTTTGACTATATGAGCCTGGGCTCAAAAGCTTAGTTTGGGAAGGACTTTTGGCTTTTTGACTTTTTTGATTTTTTTGTGAGAGAAGAGTGTAATAATTATGGGATTAGATGGGATGTTTTGTCTATTGTGGCTCATAAGCCTATTCTATCTTTTATGGCTCATTGAGTCAAAAAAACCCAATAAACTCTTGCCAAACCAACCCTAAGTTGACTTTGTACTTTTGTCGAATAAGTCAAAAAGGTTCTTTTTGTGAACAATGATGTACTTTGTTGTGGGAAAATTTGTCCACTTTTTGTATTTGACCATTATTTGCCTTCGATCTTTAATTAATTAATTAATTTTTTTTTTAATTTGATTATTCATGTTTCGAGTTTTTACTAATTTATATTTAAAATCGGACCCCAAAAAAATAAACGTACTGATAATCAAATGTTATAAAATTATTTTATTATATGTAATTTACACTTTTAACACAAATCTAAACTAGAATATAAGAATATAATTTTTATATCATGTAGCACTTAATGTAATATTTTCTATCTAATTTTAAAACAAAATTAACTTTACAAGAAAATTCAAAAAAATTTAAATTATGAAAGGTTAAAATGAAAAAAAAAATTCAAATATCAAAACGAAAATAACCAAACATAAAATGGCAAACTACGATTTACCGTTGTTATAGAACAATAATATTATAAGGAAAATGAACTTTTGCTTGGAAATTATGATTTATAAATTATACCTAAAATGATTGTAATTTATAAATATATGTTTTTAGATAATTTTTCAAATATAGTGTATTCTTGATATCATAGTGATCAGTTTTGAGTATTAAATTTTACTATTCTTCTACGTGTATAAAATTTGATCATATAATTAAATTCAATCATTTCACAATTAATAGAGTTTGACTTCTCTCGCATTAATCATTTAATTTCACAAAATAATTCGGGTTTGGTGGGCGATCACTTGTAAGATCCACCAAACTAGAAAGGCTTGAAAAGTAGAATATAAGAAGGTTAACAAAAGTCTACTAAAAACAAAAAGAAAAGCTAGAGAAGTCAATTTTTTAGAATTTTTTTATGGTCTTCTAGTAAACTTTTTCAATTTTTTTAAAAAATTATTTCTTAAATCCTTATAGACAAACGTGAAAAGTAAACATTTTTAACAAAATATTTTTAAAAAAATCACCAAAGAAAGAAAAAGTTTTTTTAAAAAAAAAACTTATTTATTATTTTATAGATTGAAAGATATAAGAGTTCCATGATCAATATATAGCTGTGTGCACTCCGTTTAGATTGTGAGGTGAAATGAGGAAAATATATATATATATATTATTGTGCTTTCTCACCTAAGTGAGAAAAGAAAAAAAATGATTATTTTTATCATTATTTGGATGAATAAAAGAAAAGAAAACATAACATGATTTCTCACCTATCTTGTTTGGACAAAGTAAAAAAGAGAAAAGAAAGGAAAGAAAAGAATTCAGTGGGGAGGTGAAATGAGGAAAATATATATATATATATTATTGTGCTTTCTCACCTAAGTGAGAAAAGAAAAAAAATAATTATTTTTATCATTATTTGGATGAATAAAAGAAAAGAAAACATAACATGATTTCTCACCTATCTTGTTTGGATAAAGTAAATAAGAGAAAAGAAAGGAAAGAAAAGAATTCAATGGGTTTGGTTTCAATTTTCTGAATTTAATTTTATATTTTTTCGTGTTTTTTTTTTTTTGTTTTTAGTGAATATTTTTTAAATTTTAAGCAATTTTATTTTTTATTTTTTTAGATGCATCTTACTTAAGGAATCTCTAACGGTTCACCAAATATTTCATCAAGTCTGAGTAAAAATTTAATGAATTCCTCTAGTTGATATTAAGCTCTCCAACGGTGAATTTTTAGCTATTAGCAAAACATAGATTGTCTGAGGGGACGACCAACCGATCGTTCGGCCGGTCAACCGGTAAGTGCAATCCAAAAAATCTGTAACAACTTTTTTGGTTTGGGTTTGTACAATTTAACTTTTCTGGGTAACAACTTTCATTTTCCCTCTCTGTTACCTGCCAAGATTCATTTTCTACGTAAAAGCCCTTATTTTTCCAATGCCTCCTTAAGATTTTGTTGTGTTCCCATAGGAGAGATTGAAATTCTCCATCTAGGTTTTCTCAGAGTGATGCATATTGAAGTCCCCAACAATGGCTATTTCGATTCCTGGTGTTCTATTCAAGCTTCCACAGCATATGAACACAGATATGAAGATTACTGGTGAGCACAGGTCATCTCTATTGCAAGTAGTGAGCATTGTCCCTGTACTAGCTGGTGGTAAACTCTTCCTAAACCAAGGGTTTTATCTCAAGGTGTCAGATTCATCTTATGCCACCTATGTTTCTCTACCTGATAAACATGATGATCTAATTCTTAGTAATAAACTCCAATTGAGTCAATTCATACATGTTGAACATGATGACAGTAGCACTAATGGTGTACAAGTCACACAAAAAAATGCAGGGGTGGTCATCCGGGGAGTCAACCGGTCAATATAAATTTTTCACAAATTTTTGCCTTGAGATGGTCATCCGGAGAAACATCCGGCCGGACGTCCGGTGGGTCATCACTCAACGGCTATGCAGAGCAAATTGCTAAAAGATACAAAACATCCTCAGTTTGGTGAAACATTTGTTATATTCTCAATTTGATACAGGTTTAATGAAATCATTGGAGCACAAAAAAAAAGACTTTTTCACCAAATTTGAATTTGGTGATGGATTTGGTATAGCGTTGGAGATAGCCTTAGATGTATCTAAATAGTAAAATATTTTTAAAAATTAATAAATACACAAAAATACGAAAAATGTAATAAATTTTCATTTTTTTATATTTATGATATTTAGTAAATTTTTTAAAATTTTTTTTACAAATATTATACTTTTAAGTGTATTTATGTTCGGTGTATCTAAAGAAAAATTAAAAAAAAATTACTTAAAATATTAAAAAAATTCATTGAAAACAAAAAAAAATACAAAAAATAAAATTTTCTGAAAAGTATTTTGTAGAAACCAAAACCAAACAAGTTAATTGTATTTTATTTTACCAAAATAACCTTCCATTTAATAAGCTATGTAATTTTAGTATTTTAGAAAATTTTCACTAAACCTAATTCCTTTGTCACAAAATCTCGCTACTTTTAGTGAGAAACAAAATATAAGTTTGGTGAATATTTTTTTCTCACTATCTCTCATCATTTTTTTTATCATTTCTCACCATCTTATCCATTTGAATTTATTATTCCCACAATTTCTTTTCATTTCTACTAAACCGCACCATCCAAACGGTGTGTAAACCTCACCAATTTACTCCATATTCAAAACTCATCATAAATTGTGATCCAATAATCTCTCCCTTTCTCTCTGTCTAACCCACGTCCTATTAACTTGTAAACAGGAGTGAAATACCATCTATGGGGATTGATTGACATATCTATAGATATATACGAATCCATGTATCAAATATCATCAGAGTTTTATAGACACCTCAAGCTTCGCTCCCGCCATTTTACAACCGCCAATCAACTTCAAACCCTCCTTTCAGCAATCCCTCAAAACAAACTTCCTCAACAAAACACACCCATTACCGAAGATCTTTGTGGCCAAGTATTAGACAAATACCCAGATATCAGAAAATTAAAAAGACTCCATTCAAAGATCATCTTTGATCAGACTCTCAGCTCAAGCCCATCCATTGGCATCAAACTCATGAGAGCTTATGCTGCTTGCGGCCAACCCGGGATTGCCCGCTACGTGTTCGACGAAATTCCCGATAGAAGTGTTGTCTTTTTCAATGTCATGATCAGAAGCTACGTGAACAACCAGTTTTACCAAGATGCTCTTTTGCTATACAAAAACATGTCTAATTATAATACTAATCCTGATCACTATACCTTTCCTTGTGTTTTGAAAGCTTGTTCTGGGTCTGAGAATTTACGGGTTGGAATCCAAATTCATGCTGCGGCTGTAAAAGTAGGACTCGATGCGAATCTGTTTATAGGGAACGGTTTGATTGCCATGTATGGGAAATGCGGTTGTTTAGTGCAAGCTCGCCGGGTTCTTGATGAAATGCTCCACAGAGATGTGGTTTCTTGGAATTCAATGGTTGCCGGGTACGCACAAAATGGGCAATTTGATGATGCGTTAGGGGTTTGCCGTGAAATGGTGTCGTTAAGTGTAAAACCTAATGCTGGTACAATGGCTAGCCTCTCGCCTGCTGTAAGTAATACATCTGCTGACAATGTTATGTTTGTTAAGGAAATGTTTGTAAAAATGGCTAAAGAGGGTTTGGTTTCATGGAATGTGATGATTGCAGTCTATGTGAATAATTCTATGCCTGCTGAAGCAGTTGGACTTTATTCAGAGATGGAAGCGTGTGGGTTAGAACCTGATGCGATCACTATTGCTAGTGTTCTTCCTGGTTGTGGGGATCTTTCGGCATTGTTGCTAGGAAGGCAGATCCATGAGTATGTGGAAAGGAAGAGGCTTCGACCAAATTTGTCGTTAGAAAATGCCTTGATTGACATGTATGCAAAGTGCGGATGTTTACGTGATGCAAGGGAAGTGTTTGATGGTATGCACGGTCGGGATGTTGTGTCGTGGACTTCAATGATTTCTGCTTATGGTATGAATGGGCATGGTCAAAATGCTGTTGCTCTCTTTTCAAGAATGCAGGACTCAGGTCTCACTCCTGATCCCATCGCCTTTGTTTCCATTCTCTCAGCATGTAGCCATGCAGGATTGTTGGACGAGGGACAGTATTGTTATAAATTAATGACCGAGGAGTATAGGCTGGTGCCAAGGTTGGAACACTTTGCTTGCATGGTCGATCTATTAGGACGTGCTGGTCGAGTAGATGAGGCCTATAATTTCATCAAGAAGATGCCAATGGAACCTAATGAGAGGATTTGGGGGGCTTTGTTGAGTGCTTGTCGGGTTTATTCTAAAATGGATATTGGGCTTATAGCTGCTGATCATCTTTTCAAATTGGTTCCGGAGCAGGCTGGCTATTATGTCTTATTATCAAATATTTATGCTAAGGCTGGTAGATGGAAAGATGTTACGACCATTAGGTCAATCATGAAGAACAGAGGAATCAAGAAAATGCCCGGTGTTAGTAATGTTGAGATTGATCGTCTGGTCCACACGTTTCTTGCTGGTGATCAATCACATCCACAATCCAAGGAGATCTATGAAGCGTTGGATGTGTTTGTAGGGAAGATGAAAGAGGTAGGTTATGTCCCTGAGACACACTCTGCCCTTCATGATGTGGAGGAAGAGGATAAGGAAAATCACCTAGCAGTTCACAGTGAGAAGTTAGCTATTGTCTTCGCAATTATTAATACCAAACCCGGGACACCAATCAGGATTACCAAGAATCTACGTGTTTGTGGGGATTGCCATATTGCTATCAAGCTTATCTCCAAGATTGCTGAACGGGAAATCATAGTCAGGGATACAAATCGTTTTCATCATTTCCAAAACGGGGTTTGTTCATGTGGTGATTATTGGTAAGCCTGCGTAGAAGTGCTCAATGCTCTTCACTTTTCCAACCGTTTGAGCTTCAAAGCTGTTAACTTCTTTCCAGATGCTGCCACATTTTCATTCCCAGCAATTACCCTAACATTAGATGGTAGTTGTCTCAAACCAAGTGGATTATTTCCTTGAGGTAATTTTCTCCTTGACAACTTCCCAGTAAAAATGATTTCACATTTTGGTTTGCTAAAAGAAAAGCAAGAAGCTTTTAGAAACAGAACCAAGAAACCTGAAATGCTTTAAGTAAGGGGTGGTTTGAGATGATCTAAATAGGTGTACTTTTTTACTTTTTATGAAATGTGAGTTGGGTATGGGTTGGGTTTGAAGTGATGTGGTAGAGAAGTGATGCGACTTAAATAAGATGATGTGACTTAAATAGGATAGTGGCTTTTTGACTTTTTTAAGTTATGCCAAACCAAGCCTAAATCTTTTCATTTCATGGGTTATGAACATTGGAATTTGTTCATTGGATATGATGATCATAGTTGTTAGCATTAGATTTTCTCAGCTGTCATGAAGCTCTTCATTGATTCTTCTTTGTTGCCATTTGTTTTTTGTTTAAATATAAAAATTACTTACTACATAACAAAGATCTCATCAGTTCTTATTATAAATTCCTTTTACACCCAATAGAAGGGCCAGGCCATATACTGCAAGTTGAGCGAGGATTAAAATAGTTACTAAAAGACAAAATATACTAAAAAGTTAATAAAATAAAATGTCACATTTAAACTATGATTATTTCATTTTCTGTCAAAAAAGTCAACTCAAACGATTTTTTTTAATCTCAAGCTAAAATAGCCAAAAAATAAGAAGCCAACTAAAAAAGCCAATTGCCAAACAATGAATGATAGGAAGCCAAATTTTAAGAATTTTCTAGCATTGAGTAAAGACTACTTCATCTTTTGTGTTCATGTGCCTGGAAAACTGTTTTCTTACACTTTGAGTTGGCTTAGTTTAGATTTACAAAACTCATTGACATCTTGTTGCTAATTTTTCATTCAACATGTCTGACAATCCAAGTAAGTTAGCAATGCTGGAGTTGTTTATTCCACTGTAGCTGCCATGCAACTTGATTCACTTGGTTTGTCAAGCTCTTGTTTCTCAAACTCCAAAAGGAAGAAAATGAAAATAGAATGCTAATGACGGGCTTGTGAACCTTCAAGGCAGTTCTTCTTCACGGAGAAAACCTATTGACAATGCTGTGAGCAAGTCACCAGCTTCGGAGCAAGCAATCAGATGGTTGGTGATTGCCCCTCAGAGCCATCAGAGCCAGGAAAATCTAATCATTCACTCCTTTGATTTTTTCCCGGTAAAGGTTCCATGTTGTCTTATGTTTTTAGCTAAGTTGTTTGGTGATTATGGGTGAGAAATGAAAGTCTTTGTAATCTCATTAAATTGAATGGCTAGAAGTGATTGGTTGGAACCCTAGTGACATAACAAAGGGGGGAAACAGGTAGGCTATTAGTTAGGTTGTTTAGATGTTGTCATTGAAATATTCATATGTGATTAGGTAGACGATGTTGAAAAAACGTTATTTATTTTTAATCTTTATTGTAACTATTATAATTCTAGTAAAAATCATAGTTCAACAACCTTATATCTTTGTCTCAACCCTGCAAATGATCTTTTTGGATGTGCTTCCATTTTCGACAACCTTGTATCTTGGTCTTAACCCTGCAAATGTGTTTACATTTTTTTCATTATTGTTTTTCATATTTTCAGAAACAAACAAGATGAAAAGTTAGAAAATTTTGTTTTCATATTTGTTCAAACATAGTAAAAAATTGAAAACTACTCTTTGGTGCTTTTAAAATGTGAGCTGTTTTCAGAAAATATTACCCAAAACAGTTTTCTGAAATAATTTTGCCTAACTAATTTACCGTGTTTTATATGAAAACAGGACAAAGAAAAGCAAACACGGCCAAACAGGTAGAACTTGTCTGAAGACCCAGGAATCATTTATCAAGAAGAGTTCCTCATAATTGTTCTTGTACTCTGATAGCATATTTGAACAAACCAATCGGCAAAAGGAAATGAAGTTGAGATACAGTTTCTTTTCGTCACAAAAATACGCTCTCATCTCAACATGCTATTTGTTCATTCAACTTTTATGTTCATACAAAGAAAGTGAAAGGAAAATTCATAAACGAAACTGATCAAAACAAAATAGGAAAGGAAAAACAAAAGAAGATGCTAGAGTATTGATATAAGTAGTGCACAAAAGTTAATGCGACCAAGGTTTGTCCAAAAAACCAAAAATCATGCCAATCTAATGAGGGAAGCAACTGGAACTAATACGAGGGCTCCAACATTTAGAGTTTTGCCACCTAAACTTTTCTGACCTGGATGTTGTGAGTGGACTGGAAACGCCAGATGGGTTTTCTCCCGCTCTGAACAAGAGCTACCTCCTCTCCTTCCTTCGTCATCCCTTGTTTCTGTACATTAAAACCCACTTCATTTATAAGAAATGTCTTACACGGTGCCTACTGGCAGATGCGTATTATACAGAACATACTTGCAACAACAAATATAATGAAAAATAATCTAAAGAGTCTGTTTGGTCCTTTCCTTTGTTTTTGCTATTCATGTTACGAAAACAATAGTGAAAAAATCGAAATCATCAATCGTTTCATATCATGCTTTTTTCTTTTTCTTTTTTTTGGTGTTTCTTAAAAAGTTGATTGTTTTCAAAAAATTTTACCGAAAACAATTCACCAAACAAGTCGTGTGTTTTTTGGAAAATGAACAAAACCAAACTGACCGTAGACTTTATAACCAAGGATTGTTCATTCATGGGTGAGTTAGAAAGGCCAACAATCCAAGTGAGGTCCTTCCGAAAAATATTCCCTCATGTTTATAATATACAACTTGAATGGATATCCTCATTATGTTGCCCATGATCCAATGGAGGAGCAGCTGTACATCTCAATTACCACGTAAAGAACTTGAAAAACAATTAGGACAGTGAAGCCTCACCTGCAACAAAGCCAATGCATTTGAGAAGGTTTCTTCGGCATCATCTGAGAACTGCATGTATATGGGACATACTCCTTGGTACAAAGCCAGTCTCTGTTGTATTCTCTTCCTGCATGGTCATCAAGTCACGTTTGATCAGTCAAAAATTATTAAAAGATACGCTCTTTGTCTTGGGTCAAACCCTAGTCCCATAATCTACTTAGTACTTAGTAATATAGTATCGGAAGTGTATCACAAAATGTTTTTAAAAGCAACACTTAATGGCATGATAACACCACATCTCAAAAGTAATCCACTCGTTCAAGGAAGTTGGCTGGTTTTCCAAGTTATAATCGTAGGTTTAATGATTAATTAATTCAGTCATGACTGAATCAATTCTTTATTATATTGTCACTTACTAGAAACTCAAACAAGATATGATAATGACTGTTCACAAGTATGTCTCCAAAAAGAAAAAAGAACAAAGAATGAAAACAATAACTCAATTAATGCATGCAGTTTGATGGAGTATCCTGACTGAGGAGACTAGTTAAGAAGACCATCAATTAGGCGAATTCACAAGATTTTTTTCAAAAAGCAAAATTTGAAGAACAAATTGCAAGAATGGATTATGTGGAGGATATGCAAACACTGACGAAATGAGACAAGTATAGGATCTAGGATTTAAAAAATAATATAATTATTTATAACATTCTGAGTAATTCACAATAGTTGAATGAATCATATGCTATATGATAATGTTGCATGTACTTAATAAAAATGGCACAAAAAAAAGTGAATGCTCAACTGCTTGATGCAGTTTAACACTATGACAAGCAAACTTTCAGAGTTCTGAAAGCTCGGAGGAAATTTGAGTCAATGGATCCCAATCCACAAAAAGGTGCTTCATGCCTTTGTAAGAGTAGTACAGATGTTGAACCTCATTCAAAACACTTGCTCCATCAGTCTAGTTTCCAAACAAAATAGACAAGCAACAAAAGATTCCAGTAATAATATGAGACTCACTCGTTTGTAAAGGCAAATATGGTGCCAGATGGTCGACAATGACTCAGTAGAATGCCCATGAAACCAGTTTCGGTGAAGACGACAATTGAGGTTCCAAGAGTGTTGGACATCATCGTTGCATGGAATGCAAACATCTCACTCATATGGTTCTGAGGATATCAAATGAAAATTTCAATTAAGATATATTTCCTAAATAAATCAACTTGGAGTCAAAAAATACATATGAAGATGTCAGGTAACCTTGAACGCCTGGCCAAGGTTAGGAGGTGTTTCCCCACCAACCAAGGTTGCTTCTGTCCGTAATGATACAGTGTGCATAACTTTGACAGCTTTCAAAGGAAACCTGAACAAGAGAGATCAGTCAAGTTTAACATATAAAGCTGGATTTGTTTATGCTTTATCTATCTTTGTAGTTAACTGACTCAAAATTAGTTTGCAACCAAGAAATTCATCACTAAAAAATGCAACCTCAAAGACTTTAATTTAATGATAATGCATATAGGTCAAACCAAACTTTGACCTGGAAGCCTTCCCCAATTTGTATATTAGTTTCTATTACAGCAAATTTCCTTGTGGCCACCAAAAAGATTACTAGATTGTGCAAGACCGGCTTGACTGGTTAAATTTTTACTCTGAAAATTAACAAGGTGGCTTGTGCCATCCTACATTCCTAAACTTCTGAACTACTGTATACACCAGTTCCTTCCTAACAGAAATACTGGAAACACCAAATAACTTACTTTCCATGAGCAGTTTCCCCAGACAGCATAACTGCATCAGCACCCTCTCGAACAGCAATGGCAATGTCTGACACCTCTGCTCGGGTTGGTGTTGGATGGACAATCATGCTTTCCAGCATATTTGTTGCCACAATAACAGCTTTCCCCATGCTACGGCACATCCTGATTATCTCTTCCTGCATTTTTGCAACAAATTGTTGTCTATGTAAATGATTAACATTAATATCTTTTACCTATACCAAAAAAGCACCTGGCAAATGACGTTATCCCCATCACCAATCTTCCATCAGTACAAAAACGTACCTGCAATAGTGGAACCTCCTCAATTGGAAGCTCTGCACCCAGATCTCCTCTAGCAACCATTGCCTGAGATCAGAAAAACATATATTACTTTAACCGTGCACAACCAAATACAATGAAGGTATTCTTGGGAACTTGTTTGGACCCAAAAAACAGCTCAAGCCAAAATGCAACTAACTAAAGATGAGAAGTGACTAAACCTAAGCACTAAGAAAATTGACAAATAGCAAGGACTTGATCTGAGACCAATCTCCAAAGCAACAATTCAAGTTTTCTTTTCAAAAAGAAAAGTGAAAAAGGAATAAAGAGATCAAAACCAAGATAAAACTAACCCCATCAGATGCTGTGATAATTGAATGCAAATTTGGAATAGAGTCTGCACTTTCAATTTTCACAATAACATGTATATCAGCACCACAACCTGCCAAAGTAATAAGAAATGACAGAGAAAAGTTAAGATGTAAGGCAGGACACCTATCAAGCACATACATGATATTTAATTCCTATCTGTAAGGAATGCATCATTTATATACTTTGCAAGTAATTCTTCAATTCATGGACCACTGCAGCATCTTTGACAAAGGAAACAGCATAGAAGTCAACTTGATTGTCCACTCCAAACTTGATGTCATCCCAATCCTTTTCTGTTGCAAATCAACGCAAATGGTTATGTTCATTTGCAAAACAAAACGGCTTGGTACTTCCAGAGAAGGAAAAAAGAAAAAGAGAAGGCATAAGAACAGTTGGCAGCATCATGAAGGAGATGATTGCTGGGCACTAACCAGTGATGGATGGCAGCGTAGCACTTTTTCCTCGAACATTTAGATGTCGTCTAGATTTAAGCTCTCCTCCATCAACGACCTCACATTTTACTGAATCTCCTGTCTTGGACTTCACTAAGAATGACATCATACCCCCTATAAAATACACAATGAGTGAATGGTGTGTAAAAGTCAAAGCAAAAGTTTTCTTTTTGGGTTACTGAAACTCAGAGCAAAATGACGAAAAAGAATTCATGTAGCTGACCCCACTCATGTGGGACACAATGCTCAGTTTGGTTACTAAAACTCAAAGTGGAATAGAGAAAAAGAATCCATGTAGCCGATCCCACTTGATTGGGACCCAAGGCCTAGTTTGGTTAGGTTATTGAAACTCAGTATGTTGAGAGTATCTCCTTGATCTTTGGACTGCAAATTCTTTTTCTTTGATTCTTTAATTAATTAAATTTTCTTTTCATTAGAGGGTATAAGCCCTTTTTGCTTTCTATTGATGCTTTTATTTTCACTAGCCTTTTCATTTATATTAGAGTTCTAAAAAAGTAATTGACTTGGTATAAATCACAGTTTTATTTCATATGCATTATAAAGTGGTACAAATTATGGGAAGATGTTCCTGAGAACCCAGAATTATATTTGATAAAAGTTTAGAAGGAAAAAAAAAGGGGTAAAACAAAAGAAATTTTGGACTGTTAGCAATATCTGGGTGTCAAAAGTATTTTGCTAAGTCAGCTTTTAAAAAATTTATGGTAGTCTGGAAACAACTGAATCCACAAAGTCCCTCTTTAGTACCTCAAGTGTATGAGGTAGGATGTCAAAATCATGATGACTGCAAAGCTTCTTCATCATGACAATCTTTTGAGGGATAGAATCAAATTAATGTTGTCAAAAATTCATCAACAGAGACCTTTCAAGTGCAATATCAGCAGATTTTCAGATCCTCATATTTCTAAGCCACTATAAGTGAAACATATGTATAAATTTTGCATTGGATACAGTCAAATCTTGTTCTCTAGATCAACATGAGCTTTTTTCAACAATTGCTCTCAGAATATTTATCTATCTGTTTCATTCTGGGATTTCCACTCTTAACTCTCAATTAAACAAGTGGACATGAAGGAATATGATTATGACGCATGCAAATCATTGGCTCCAATTCACATGATACTTTCATGATAGATGGAAATGTTAGAATAGTATATCATTATTTGGGTTATTATTAAATTCTAATTATTCTATAACTTAGGGCTCTCTTGTAATTATTAATCTTTATAAATATAAAAAGGGAATGATACCATAATCATTCTCTAATCTTGTATTCTCTAAATTTGGCCCCATTTGGTAGAGCTATGGGAAAGTGATTATAACTTATAGCCTAAACAGCTTATAACTTATAACTGTGACCATAAGCTGATTTTTTACTTATAAATTAAGCTTCTCCTCCCCCACTCAAAGAATAAATTGATTTTTAACTTACAAAAAGCTATAAGTTGTATTGTTAAGCTGAACCAAACACATCAAAATAACTTAAATTAAGCTAAAAGCTTAAATAAGCTGAAAATAAGCCCTACCAAACAGGGCCTTTATCATGGTATCTGAGCCACAACCTTAAATCCATCCACCACACCCGTCAGCCACACCCAACCCCACCACACTGCCACCACACAGCTACCCATCCAAGCTAGGTGTCACTCCTTCCCCAGCCCTGTCCGCTACTGCCAAAGGGCTACTTGGCCCAGTCGGTCGTTTTTGACTACTGCCAGAGGCAACCCTAGCCTTGTCACTCACTATCGCAGGCTGCCCAACCTTGCTGGTCTTCTTCGACAGGCCTCCTGACCTCGTTACTCCCTCTTGCTGGTTGTCCCAGCTTTGTCGTGTCCTCCGACAGCCCTCTTCGACCGCCCTAGCCTCTGATAGCCTCGACAGACCGAGTCAACAGCCTATGATGGTGTATTGCTTCGTCGTTTTGTTGATGCAATGCCCAGGTTGTCGTTGTCTTGCTTTATCCTGTTATCAATATATCCATCTTGCTTCGTCCTCTTTACTTCTTCTTTTAAATAAATTAAAAAAGAGCAAAAAAAAAATTCTATGAGTTCTTAAATCTTTAACTTGTGCTTTCCCTTCCATCCCACCTTCCGGATTTGTGATTGTCACTAGTTTTGTTGAGGGTTCGGTAGTACAATATCCATGGCAGATTCCACCAGTGTGACCACTACTTCTCAGACACCTAGGAGTGAGAGTTCTACTATACCTACTACTATGACTGATAACCCCAACCCTAGTCTTAAAATCATCGCCTCTCTATTTAATAGTCAGAACTATCTAGCGTGGTTGTAGAGTTTGACTATTTTTTGAAGAGTAGAGGGAAGATAGGATATGTTGATGGCAGGATACCGACACCCAACACCACTGAGCCCAGTTATGATCAATGGGAGATTACCAACTCTTTGATTATGGGTTGGCTTATTCATTCGATGGTCCCAAACATTAGTGATGGCTACTTGTCTATGGAGACTACCCAGGATGTTTGGGATGTTGTGGCTGCTACTTATTCCCGTAAAGGGAATTTCTCACAGGCATTTGAGTTGCGCCGCTCTATTAAGAGCTCTGTTCAGGAGGAGCAGATTGTTCTTCAGTACTTCACCTTCCTCACCAACAGCTGAAAACACCTTGACCACCTGCAGGACTATAAGCCTGTTTGCACTGCTGATTCAGTCGAGTACAGGAAGTTCATTGCATAGGAACGGGGTATACAAGTTTCTGGCAGGCCTCAATGTGGAGTATGATCCGGTTTGGAGTCAGGTTTTGAGTATGGACACACTTCCGTCACTTCAGGATGCATTTGCCTATATACAGAATGAAGAGAGTCGCCAGTCTGCTATGATGTCACCTGACACTACTGACCGCTCAGCATTACTGTCTACTCCTAGAGATGGCCTTAGCCTGACTCCAATCCCTCTGTCTACCGCCAAGGAGTCCGCCTTCTGTGATTACTGTCGCAAGCTGCGGCATACTTGTGAGACATGTTAAAAGTTTCATGGGACTCCATCCGGGGGTCGAGGTGATCGATCTAGTTCTAGAGGAGGTCGGTTAGGCTGATCTAGAGGCTGTGGCTCTCATCCCAAGCTCATCAGTCTAGTGCCGTTGATACACTGGATTCTACTTCCGCTTCCGTTGGCCAAGCTTCTGATGGTCTCTTTGGCATGACTACTCATGAGCTTGAGTATGTTCTCCGTCACTTGCTGGACCGCTGGTCTTCTACTGCCCTCAGTACATCTTCCTCTTCATTTGCCTGCTTAAGTAACTTAGCCTCTTTTTCTCGTGTTTTCCTTTCTCATAAGTCTTTGCCCTGGATTATTAATTTTGGTGCCTCAGATCATATGTCTGAATCCTCTGACCTTTTCTCTGCCTATAAGCCCTCTTCAGGTCAGGACAAAATTAAGATTACAGATGATACTGTTTCTTCTATTTCTGGGAAAGGTTTAGTCCATATCACTCCTACCATACCTCTATCTTCTGTTCGCCGTGTTCTTAATTTTTCTGTTAACCTGTTATACTTGAGTCGTATTACACAGGATTTGAATTGTAGTGTGATATTTTTTTCTGATCATTGTCTTTTTCAGAACCTTGTCACGAGGAGGACGATTAACAGTAGTAGTGCAAAAAATGATCTCTACTTGCTGGATCAGCTTGACAAGCTTGCTTATTTCTCCACCACGAGTCCTACTACCAAAGATGATTTATGGCTATGGCATTAGCGTCTTGGGCATCCTTCTTTTTCTTTACTTAAACATTTATTTCCATCTATTTTTGCAAACAATAATGTGTCTGAGTTTCTTTGTGTGTCTTGTCAACTTGGAAAACAACACAGAACTTCTTTTGCTCCTAGTTTTAATAAAAGTTTAGTTCCTTTTTCATTAATCGATTCTGATGTCTGGGGTCCATCTCGTGTTATGTCTGTGAAAGGTCATCGATGGTTTGTTATATTTATTGATGATTTTTCTCGTACTACTTGGGTGTATCTCATGAGAGACAAGAGTAAGATTTTCTTTGTGTTCTACAATTTTCATAAGATGCTGTATACTCAGTTTGGGGCCACTGCAAAATCTTCTGTTCGAATAATGGGGGTGAATACATAGATTCTGGATTAGGACAATATTTTTCTGCTCATGGCATTATCCATCAAACCTCTTGCACCAATACCCCTCAACAAAATGGGGTGGCGGAATGCAAAAATCGTCATCTTCTTGACATGACTCAGTGCATGTATTTTTCCATGAGTGTGCCTCGGTCCTACTAGGGTGACGATGTTCTCACCGCTGTCCATCTTATTAATCGTCTTCCTACCCCAATCTTGCAGAAATAGGCTCCCCTTCAAGTCCTCCTTAGTTCCAAGTCCTTCTTTCCTATTCCTCTCAAAATATTTGGCTATCTGTTTTGTCCACAATCGCTCTCCTACTCGTAGCAAGTTAGACCGTCGCTCCCCTTCAAGTCCTCCTTAGTTCCAAGTCCTTCTTTCCTATTCCTCTCAAAATATTTGGCTATCTGTTTTGTCCACAATCGCTCTCCTACTCGTAGCAAGTTAGACCGTCGCTCCCTTAAATGTGTTTTCCTTGGGTACTCTCCTACTCCAAAGAGGTATAATTGTTATCACCCTCCTTCTCGTAAGTGGTTTCTATCTATATGTGTCACCTTCTTTAAGTCCTAGTCCTATTTTTTGTCCTCTTCGATGTCACAGTCCTCCCTTCAGGGAGAGCCTTGGTGTGAAGTGACTCCTGTGATTCCTATGGTGAAACCAGTTGTTCTTGCACCATCACCTCTTACTAGGATTACAGAACCCACTATCACCAAGGATAGGAAAGGGCAAGTTTATGTCAAGGACAAAGACAGACAGAAAGTTAACTGAATACAAGAGACCACTTCTACTCACCCACTGCCATCTCCTGCTTCTGATGAGAGTCTAGGTAACTTTGAATCTCTTGAGTCCACTGATCTTGATACTTCTATTGATCTTGATGTTCCTATTGCCAAGAGAAAGGGTATGAGATCTTGTACTTAACATCCTATCTCTAATTTTGTGTCCTACTCTCAGTTGTCGTCCTTATATAGAGCTCTTGTGTCAAATATTTCCTCTATTAGCATTTCTAACCATTTTTATGATGCTCTTGCTATCTCTGAATGGAAACTTGCCATGATTGAGGAAATGAAAGCACTTGGGAAGAATGGCACTTGGGAATTGACTGAGTTACCCAAGGGCAAACTACCTGTGGGATATAAATGGGTGTATACAGTGAAACACAAAGCAGATAGTTCTGTTGAGCGTTACAAAGCTCGACTTGTGGCCAAAGGGTTCACTCAGACATATAGCGTTGACTATCAAGAGACTTTTGCAGCTGTGGCTAAGATGAATTCAGTCAAAATACTTCTCTCTCTAGCAGCTAATCTAGATTGGCCACTTCATCAGTTTGATGTAAAGAATGCCTTTCTCCATGGTGATCTAGAAGAAGAGGTATATATGGACATTCCTCCTAGTTTTGGGGATCATTAGACAGAGTGTTAAGTATATCGGCTTCGGAAGTCATTATATGGTCTCAAACAATTTCCAAAGATTTGGTTTGAGCAATTCACTCAAGCTATGCTTAAATATGGCTTCAAACAGAGTCAAACAGATCACACCTTATTTGTGAAACATTCCTCATGTGGTAAGACTACAACGCTCATTGTTTATGTGGATTACATAGTTCTTACAGGCGATGATAAAGAGGAAATACCTCTGTTGAAGAAATATTTAGTAAGTGAGTTTGAAATCAAAGACTTGGGGAGCTTGAAGTACTTTCTGGGAATTGAAGTAACTCGCTCCAAGGATGGGATATTTATCTCACAGAGGAAGTATGTATTTGACCTGTTGAAGGAAACTGGGATGCTTGGCTACAAGGCCTGTGACACTCCACTGAACCCAATCAGAAACTAGGGGATGATTAAGGAGGAGTAGTTGTTGATAGCGGGAGCTATCAGCGATTAGTGGGTAAGCTCATGTACCTATCTCACTCCCGTCCTGATATTGTTGTTGCTGTCAATGTGGTTAGCTAGTTTATGTATGCTCCCCATCAGATTCACTTCGAGACTGTCATGCGCATTTTGAGGTACTTGAAGTTTGCTCCTGGTATGGGTCTTTATTTTTCAAAGCATGATCATCTTCGTGTGGAAGCCTATACAGATGCTGACTGGACTGAATCAGTGACTTCTAGAAGATCGACTTCAGGATATTGCACCTTTGTTGGAGGCAATCTAGTTACTTGGAGGAGTAAGAAATAGAATGTGATTGCAAGGTCCAGTGCAGAAGTTGAGTTTAGAACTATGGCACAAAGGGTATGTAAGCTCTTATGGATCAAGTTATTGTTGAGTGATCTAGGTATTGATCAGATGAACTCCATGCGATTATCTTGTGATAATAAAGCCACTATCAACATTGCTCACAATCCGGTTCAACATGACAAGACAAAGCATGTTGAGATTGATTGCCACTTCATTAAAGAGAAACTCACTAGTGGCACAATATGTACTCCATTTGTGCAGTCTGGTGAACAACTTGCTGACATCCTCACCAGGGAAGTTGGGAGTAAGCCATTTCATGACATCTTTTAGGCAAGCTGCGTATGAGAGATATCTTCTCACCAGCTTGAGGGAGAGTGTTAAAATAGTATATCATTATTTGGGTTATTATTAAATTATAATTATTCTATACCTTAGGGCTCCCTTGTAATTATCAATCTTCATTAATATAAAAAGGGGATGATACCATAATCATTCCCTAATCTTGTATTCTCTAAATTTATTAGGAAATTAGGATAACCACTAAAAACTTCAAAGCATGAAGAAGAAGAGAGACGAAGGATGAACATCATTGCATACCATCAACAAGAAGCATATCACCCACTTCTACATCATTGACAAAATCATCATAGTTCACACTGACACAGTCTGCTGTGCCAACACCTCTTTGAATCGTGAAAGTGAATTCTTCGCCACTTGATAACATGATTGGTTGCGGCAAGTCACCACTCCTAACCTCAGGGCCCTGCCAATAAGAAAACCAAGTCCCAACACATTAATTGCAAAGATAAATATGAATCTGATCTTATCAAAATAAATAAATAAGAATCTGACTTCTTTTTAGTAAAAACAAAAATAAAAATCTAACAAATTGAAAAATACGTGACAACAAAATATGTGCACAAAATAGCAATTTATGCTTTTTTAAAATATATATATATATATATATATATATTCATGTTGGCACCTGCATCATAATTTTTAGAAGGAAAAAAAAAAGAAGAAGAAGAAGAAGAAGAAGAAGAAGAAGAAGAAGAAGATCACAAATCTTTAATTTAAAATTTATATGCATGTCCCATATAAGTAACTGGCAGGCTCATACTTTCTTCCAGACATTGTGTAGCATATCTCCATTAGCAATTACTTGCACATTGAAGACCAAAACCAATGTATGAGATATAAACAGTGACTCAAAGTTGCCCTACAACCACCAAGTCACTACTGTTCCTAAAGCATGGCATGCGGCGCACAAGATAGCATCTTATACTTGCTTCAGTATCACCACCACAGTTGCCTCTATAATGATGCATTGCAAGGCAAATAACCCACCAAATCCAGGTGAAATTTTAGGCCAAGTTAAACCAAAGAAAGGTAGTAGAATATTCAAGTGGCATGTCCAGGTTCAATCTTTTAAAGTTTGCCACATCAACTTTGTTGGCATTTTTATCATACCATAAGATAACCATTATACAAATATTCTGTCAAATCTCAGCCATATGAGTGATGCTATGGGTTGTTTGATAACCTCATTAAGTACATAAATTTGAAATTTTAGTGGATGTTAATTTTAAATGCATTTGGCAATGCACTAAAAGGGTCTCCATCTTAAGTTAGAGAGAGTTGGCTTGATCAACGAATTAGAAACCACTCATGGAAGGTGGTTTTTCATTTTATCTTAATAAGCAAATTCATGTGGATTTTTTTTTTTTTTTAAATCATGCTTATATATTTCAAGCTTTCAACACTCTAACTAAACTAATATTTTTCAATACTCAATTTTCATTTCAGTTTATCAAACAGCCTGTGCAAGAACATAATAAAGAAGACAATAAAGAAATTAAGAAGAAAAAATCCTACCTTAGTGTCAAGCATGATTGCAATGACATTGTCTTTGGATTGAGCATTATATTCTTTAACCAAATCAATAACTTTCTGATGAGATGCATGGTCTCCATGAGACATATTCATACGAGCAACATTCATTCCAGCCTCAGCCAGCTTCCATATCATTTCCCTAGTGTTGGTGGAAGGACCAATTGTGCAAACAATCTTCGTCTTACGTCTGACAGTAGGCTTAGACCACATACTTGCTGAAGTGTCACCAGCCTGCTGAATTCCTTGCAAATACTGGATTTGGTTGTCTGTCTGATCCACAGCAAACATGAACAATAAGAAAAATTAATAAGTTGCAGTTTGCAATTCATTTTTACTAATGTAAGATACTTCTAGCATATAAATGTAGCACAAATTCATCAATTGTAAATTGAAAGAATACATAACCATGCAGTAATTAACAACAATATAGCCCCGAATTCAGTTCAAAACTCATGTGGCCCCTAATATCTCATTTACCAATCAATTTTTCCTTCCATTTCCAAATTTGTTAAGGCTAACTATCAAAATCTCGCTAATATTAAACAAATATGAAAGTGATTGTAAACTGATTCATACAAACCCATGAAAAAAATCATCACATATCAAAATGTGACAACAATTTAACAGCAATCAAAACAAGAAACAAACAAGCAAAAAACAATAATAACAGGAAAATTCGACAAAGACCTATCAAATGACAAAGTAGAAGTATACAATGATACAACCTTCGGTATATAAACCTCAATTCATTTCAAAGCCCATTCAGCACTGAATATCTGAGTTACCAATCAAATTTTCCTTCCATTTTCACATTTTCTAAGCACAACCATCAAAATTTGCCAAAATCAAACAAATTTGAAAGTAATTGTCAACAAATTTATATAAATCCATGAAAAATCATCACGCATAGCAAAATGTGACAACAATTTAACGGCGATCATACCAAGAACAATTTGACAAAAACCTAGCAAATGAAATGACGAAGTAGAAGTACACAAAGATACAGCCTTCAGCATATAAACCTCAATTCAGCTCATTTGGCACCGAAAATCTCAGTTACCAATCAATTTCTCCTTCAATTTCCACACTTCTTCAGCACAACCATCAAAACTTGCTAAAATCAAACAAATTTGAAAGTAATTGTCAACTAATTCATACAAACCCATTAAAAATCATCACGCATAGCAAAATGTGACCAATCAATTTGTACTTCCATTTCCACATTTTTTAAGCACAACCATCAAAACTCGCTAAAATCAAACAAATTTGAAAGTGATTGTAACCTAATTCAAACAAACCCACAAAAAAATCATCACGCATACCAAAATGTGACTACAATTTAACGGCGATCGTAACAAGAACAATTCGACAAAGACCTAGCAAACGAAATGACGAAGCAGAAGTATACAAAGACACAACCTTTGGCACATCTTCGGGGGAGACCGGAACAACCTCTGCGGCAGATATCTTGGCAGTGATCGTTGAGCTAATGCGAAACATTCTGTGGCCATTTCGCGGCTCGCGAGCAAGTACTTTGGAAGCAAATCCAAAGGGCTTGATCTTATCGACCTGGTTTTGGAGAGATCCAGAGCTAGGGCACGCTAAGGAACTGTGAATCGCTCGAGCAGCCATCACTTGCGCCATTGTTGAATGCTATAGAGAGAGAGAAAAAAAACTAGAGACAGACAGAAAAAGAGAAGATTGATTGAAGTGAGGTTTGGATGTGTTGCCTCTAAATTTAGCTTTCTTTGGAGAAATCGCCGATGAATTTGGTGGAGAGGGAAGGGGGTGATAGCTTCGGTTGTATCGAAGAAACGAGGGACTGTTTGTCTTCGAGCTGAAATTTATTCAAACGCACTGTTTTGGGGTGTAGGGGAGAAAACGGAAACTTTGTTTTGTCAAGGTGAAAAGATATATCTCCAATGTTGAATACATTATACGACGCCGTTTATTTGTCGCGACACGGATTGGAACGCGTTGCTCCACTATTATGCCATCGAAATTAATGTCACATCATCACATGTGGAAAGCATTGAATTCCTAATTACAATTATGATTTTTTGCCAACAAACTTAAAAAAAAAATTAAAAAAATTACAATTATGGCTCCCTATTTGAAATTTTATTTTTAAAATTTATATAAGAGTAAAATGCTGCTAACAGTTTTGCATTGGTTTTTTTCTTTTTCTATTTTTGGTTCTTTTTGGAGACCCTACGGCTTTTAACTTTTTATTATAATTTATAAGGTAAAACTAGTTAAAATAACTTTAAAATAAAATTAATTATCTAAAAATTAAGGGACGATTCTTTTAATTTCTATTTTCTAATCATTAAAACTTTTAATTTGAGAAAAATTACACTTAAATATTTCCAGAAAGAAAATTCACATTGACGAAAAGAAAAGCATACTTCTTGATCAACTACTCAAAATACATAATAATAAAAAAATGAAATCATTGAAATTTGAGAAACAAAGTTGGGTACAGGTCGATCATGTCCAAAAGACAAACCAAATCTCATTACTCAACCATCGAACCTACCAAATAACTTCTCCTATAAAACGCAATATCAATTTTATGACACAAACACATTGCAAATGTTTGCAAGGTCATCCACATCTCTCTCTCTCTCTCTCTCTCTCTTTCTCAACACACACACAAGAAGCCAAAAATTGATCAATCCATTATAACATAAACTGTTTGATGAATTACACATTAATTATCGCCTTTGAGACAAAATCCGTGAAAGACACACCAATGAGAACTTGGTTGAATCATTTTCCCTGGAGTATAATTCACGCCATGGTGCTCTAAAAACCAGAAATAAATTTATAATTAGAACCAACAAAACCGTCACAACGTGGATGTCACCCGGACTGAGTGATCAGCTGAACCAGTCAAGAAAATGGGCAAGGTTGGATGCCAATCTACAGTGGTTATAACTGCACTGTGAGGAAGGGTTTTCATCCCATTTGTATGACCTCGAACCTGACAACATGGAAACTTGCATCAGAACTAGGAGGCTTAAGACCCACAAAAAAGATTTAAATTAGCTAAAAATTTAACAACTAACACGTGGCCCACAGATTAAATGGTTGGGATCACCGTGTCAGGAAGTCAAACATAAAAATACAGCAAGACAAAAACTGACCAATAATAATCGTGCATCGCAAAATGCACTTTATTTAACAGATTATATGATTATATATATACATATAAAAGTACACACATAGTAGTTAAAATAAAATAAATATTGATATAGCTTAATTATATATATGTATATACATATAAAACCACATAGATCAATATAGTTCCTTGATCTCTTTTTTTATTTTGTGAAAATAACGTTATTTCAAGCATTATGCAAACATAACTTAATCACAATAAATTGTAGTGAATTACAATGAGATCGTATGATTTACTTAATTTGAGATTCAACAACTCAAATCGGATTGTTTAGGATAAAACTCGTATCGAATTGTATAAATCGAATTGTGAATCGCAAGATTCTAACAACCATTGATTTTAGAGATAGGAGAGAGAGATGTAACGGGAAATCAAGATTTACCTGATAGATGGGTGCTCTCACTGAACCAGATGTTGCCAGCAGTCTCTTCCCATTAGCATCTAAAGCCATTTCATGTCTATGTTCAGAGTTATCACGATTACAGAACCTACATAATGGAATAGACTCAGGTTACCAGAGCTCCTTATTCATACTCATATATGTATTGAAAGAGTCACATGCAGCAAGATATAAGTGGCAGGGTTGTTTCTGTTCTTTCACAATATGACTGTCCCAAAAAACAAAAGGTACAGATTTGACAATGGGCTTCACTTAAGAATTAAAACCACACCTTCCATCAATCTGGACTCTATTAAAATTTCAACTAATAGTAAGCCTAAATAAACGATAAGGTTACCATAACATTGAAGGGTTAAGCAATTCAAGTACCTGCTGCAATTTCTTGACCAAAGAATTTTACCTTGGTTTTGCAAGCTCCATTCAAATATCTGAAGTAGAAGCTAATTTGGTGAGATTCCACATATATGGCTAAGCATAAGAATATAATCCAACAAGCTAGCTAAAACAAATAACAAAATTTAAAAAAGGTAGAAAGTGCTTTTTATGCATGACCCTAACTCAAGCTGAAAATCAGAGGAAACAGAGGCACTTGCCTTTCCATCTATCCCCAAGCTAAAAATACTTGTCTCATCAGGCCCAAAAAGAACAGAGCTAATAGCAGAATCATGAGCCGGCCACCCAGTAATTTGTAGTCCGGCAGACATATCTTTGCCAAATTAAGATGTATACATTTGTTGCACATGTCTTGTGTGCAGCATGAGATTGGGGACAAGTTTCCTTTCAAAGTAGAAATGTTTAATCCCCCCTCCCTCCCCCCAGCTCTGAAGCCCCAAAAAGAAAGAAAATGATTCCTTTTTCATGTTTTTTTACTTGGTGAACCAAAGAAGTAAAAGCAACACGTTTGAGCCTCAAAAGCAAAATGTGTCACACTTAATTTAAGAAATATAATAACCATTCATACATAAACATAAAATAATATAAGGATACCGAACATATGAATCATTCCATCAGTTGCAGCAGCTGCTAAAATCTTCCCGTTATGGTTGAAGCATAAGGAAGTAATTGCCGGAGGATCTTCACCAAGGGGAAGGACTGTCTTCAATAAAGTTGAGAAATATTAAGACATAATAGCTGTCAGTCAGAGACAAATTGACTTCCTACATTAATGTACAATTTGTGGTACAAACAAGGGCATACCATAGCCTTCCATGTTTTCATGTTCCAGACAGTTAAGCTTGCAAATCCCAATTTATCCATATAACTTGTGCCATACCTATAAAGAAAACTAGGTCCTAAGAATGATTCATATTCCAAAAACATAAATGATAAACAAGTATGATGATAACATCTAAAATCATTGATTAAAAATGGGGATTGGTGAAGTTTTTTTTTAATTTTTTATCACAAGTAGTCAATTAGTAAGTTACATAAATCCTGCAACTCAATAGAAAGAATTTAACCAATTACAATAGTACTTAAAAGGACAAAAATATACAGTACAGTGGAGAAATAGATTTAGTTACAAGAAAGATACATTCACCCATACAGTGTCAACCAAAGAATCTCCTTCATTAATTCAAATAAATAGTACCAAACATGTGCATTGCACTTTTTAATCATGCAAAATCCATCAGTAATTAGGTATACGTATATCAGAATGACATAAGGCAACAATTATGATCAGTCAATATATATTGTGTCTTGTATAAGCATTCAACTTAGCAAAGATATACATTCTCCAACTCAAGCCTTGAAATGACCTCAAACATAAATCCCTAAATAAACTTGATTTAATATTTCAGTTAAAGCAGTCAAAGAAAGCTAAATGAACTTCCTCAGGTTCCAAGGGGCATAAGCTTTAAGTGGTAATGGCTCAAGGAAGAAGGCAGCTACAAACAAGAGGGGCAAAGGGCAGCGCTAATAATGAAAGAAGAGAAAAAGAGAGCCTTCGATGTATTATTAGTCAAGACCACGATTTTTTTTTGATGAGTAATATTTATGATGGAGATTGTTGATGCAGAAGGCATGCTTTCCTACACAAGCACAGTAGGGAAAACAGAATTTTCTAATGGCATCTGTTATGTGTTCACATCTGCCACTCAGTTCTTCAAAATCCATTACTTGAAGTTGCAAAATAGGACTAAAATTGTACTGTTACGAATTCAATCCATATCCTCTTCAGCCTTGGTCTCCTTGCACGCAGACAAATGATACATTTTATGTACACTAAGAACCATGAAAAGAATTGTCATTCCCACTCACAGAAATCAAGAATTCGATATAGAATATTGAGTCTACGAAGAACGTACCCTCTGGATGCTGCTGCAGAAACAAAAATTGGTTCCACAGGGCTGCATTTTAGATCCAAGACACTGCAGTACACCAAATGCATGAAGACAAGCAGAAAGCAGAAAGTTAATCACTAAACTTTTTTTTGAGCAGGTCCAAATTATCCAATCATAACCTTGGAAATGCTTCAGTTGTGCTGAGATCGCAAACAACTCTCTTTGCATCAACATTCCATGCTTTAATGCCTCCATCAGCAGTGCCTATGAGAAGCTTTTGGCCACCCAAAAAAAAAAAGTTGAAATTACAACCATGAGTTTCTGGTTTCAGACAATCAAACATCATCCCCAACATGAAAATGAGTAAACATGTTCATATGATATTGAATTACATACCAAACGGTCTGATTTACAATCCCACTCAAGTGACATGATCTCTGCTCCACAGTAGATGGTCGCATTTCTTGATGCTGGAGTTGATGGGTCATATGTCCATATCCTTTATCATAACAAAAAGAACACGTAAGGCAATTGTGGCCACAACATGAACTAAACCTTATACGAGGCCTCATCTAGCATGTGTCCAATAAATGCACCACCCTAAGGTTTGATGGAATCAAAATGAACCACATTTTAGTACACATCTGTTCCAGCCACATTAATTTGAATTGTCAATGCAATAAAAATAAAAAATAAACAAACAAATGACCCAGAAAAGCATTCTGAAATTCTGATCAAAGCGTGATATTATGAAAATTCATTTAACTACCCAGCCAAGTGCAGAACACTTCGAGGCTAACACCTAAAATGTATGGTGTCCATGTCAATAAATATGAGCAGATAGAAGGAACAAGTTAATAGTAAGGGCACTATTTCTTTCTTTAAAAATTCCAACTAGCTTATCAGCCTCCCGCATTACTCTCCTGGTATAGGTAATCTCAGCATGTTAACAGCTTTCATCATAAATACCTGACAGTACCATCCACAGAAGCACTGGCGATATTGTTTCCTGATGCAGAAAAGCGGCACCGACTGATTGGACTTGTGTGGCCTAAAAATGTCTCCTATATTATGTTATAGAAAGTTACACAGACATCAAACATAAATGAACAAACAAATGCAGTAAATAAACAAGACAAATACGGCCAAGGGGAGAACGAATTTCAGTAGCAAAATTCATAAATGGTGTTATAAGCCATATAACCTGAAAATCTACTTTCACTTCCAAAAATTCTTCTTCTCCATCCATTTCTCTGCCAGTGTCTGCAACAACACAATCAATATTTACTTTCAGTACTGCATGAAGCTATTTTCCTTATTATTAGAATAGAAAATTTCCCTATTTTTGTTCAGAAGAAAATCATCTGTGAAGCACAATAATACTATGCTGGAGAAGACATGTCCAGTGCTTGCACAAGTCAAGCAAGCACTGGACACTTTCCAATATAATTTTTAAAAAAGGAAAAAAATCCTATAACTAATACAAAATGAGTAGTAGTATATGTTGAAAATATGTATATGGAACTCTTTCCGATGAAAAGAGCTTTTGAGGGTTCATCTTCCAAGTAATGCAATTGTTAATATGGAAACTAGAACAAATCAATCAATTATATACTGGTCTCTTGTGAAATAGAAATATGTATACAAATAGAACTTAAATTCTACATATTGAGATGTTTTCCCCTGCCCACTTGTTCAAAATTGCTGTGTCCATATCCCGTAAAGCGTTGTGTTTATGTCATGTCTGCATATCCTTGTGACAACTGAGCACTAAGCTATGACTCGTTTTTATTCATATATAAACGAGAGAATGAATGCAATCATGACTTACCAATATAAAAGTCATCCCGAAACATTTCAAGGGTATCACTCGTCCCACTCTCTCCAAGACGGCGGTCTAATTTAGAACTTGAACCTTGGGCAAACTTCGATGGGATCAATTCTGATGAAACCTCGGCAGGTCCAGCAACAACCCAATCCTTCGCTGAATCTGCTTCACTCGCAGGTGCACAAGTTTCATGAGAAACCCTGGATGGGAGAACACTCACTTCATGAACACCGGTTGATGGAATCCCGGTTACGGAGCTCATTGTGCCGTTTGTCTGGCCCATTCTTACTTCCAATACTGATGAAGCATTACTGTTATAACGATAATGTGGTAAGCAAAGCATTGACAGTATAAAGAAAAATATAAGTATCTCCAGGCAGACCACACTTACCTCCTTGATCGAAATAACTGAGCTTCTTTCTCCTCCAACAAAGCCTGAAGTTCAGACAATCTAACATTAAGTTGCCTAATGTCTTTTTTGAGTCGGTTGACAGTATTCTTTTCAGAACTGATCTTCAGTAGGGCAGGGATGCGTAAATTAGCTAAGGAAAATTTCCACGTAATCAAAAAGTATTGTGATAATACAGTATGTGGTCAATGTGATTGCAAAGACATAGCCACAATAGTTTCCTGGTTACTACCAGCAGAAGTATGTCAAGGTTAAGCCAAGCCCCATCTACTAATTGGTCGTGTTATGCATGTTGGCATTTTACATAGTACACACCTCTTCTAAATGTTAACAGTTTATCTTATAATCATAATCTACAAACTACTAATCAGTTTAACAGAACAACATAAGAAAAAAAGAATAACATTAACCTCAAATGGCTTCCAAAGCAAATATTGGGCATAAGATAAATGGTCAGTTATATGCATTTGTATTGGGGTTGGGGTAGGGAACTATGAGACGAATGCGTGAAAATTTATATTTTAAGGATATGGGTACCATTAAACATCTCGCTTAAGAAGTTCCTAACTGAAAGATGGAGGGCATTAAACCACTCCTGCGAAAAATAAATGCGAAACTGGGGATCCATGCTTGGATTCTTAAGATACAGGATGGCTGCACGGAATACAAAAGGTTAAATAAAGAGAAAATTTGATAGTGTAGAAATTAATACTAGCTCAGATGCTGAAGAAAAACACTTCTTGAAAAAGCTCAGCACCTCGATTAAATCTTCTGCCCGAAATTGAGGAATGTATACTGAGAAAATTAATTCTAATATCTTATCTACATGAAAACCTTTGCCTATATCAGTGCCTAGTTCTCTCTCAAAAGCTTGCAAAGTACTTGTAAACCCTCTGAAGATAAGAAACTCCTTCACAAGCTCCTCAGCATACTGCATATTCTCCATCTTGTCCTGAGAGCCCTAAAAGAGAGGTATATCTTCAGGATTTGAAAAAGTTGAATAGTACAACTGGCCAACTCATGACAAATTTTCACAACATGCGACTCAACAATCAAATATAACATTCATGAATCTGCAAGCACACCATTTAATATGGAACTCCTAAGGACGCACTAACTAAAAAAAAAAAAACAAATTTCTAGTGAATGTTTTATCACTGAAGGGAATTCAGGTAGGGTTGATCAATCAGTTGCTTTAAATTTTCTCTGCAAGCAACAAAATAAGCTCTGGCAAGAATGCTGTCCACTATATAACCCCATTGTTGCAAGAAAAAAAAAATAAGTAAACATAAATTAACACATAACAGCTAGCTCATATATGAAACTTTACATCTGAGTTATTATACCACAATTCAGAAGTATACTGCTATCATGCAAAAATCAGTAGAATTAGTAACTTATCATCTATTGCAAGCATAAGGAACACACTAGGAATGGATCTTTCCATAGTAATAGGTTGGCACAAGTCCAGGGTTTTTTTAAAGTTTAGAGAATGCTTAAATCTCCCCTTAAAAAGAATGGGATTACGTTGATTCATTAAAATGGAGGGATAAGGCAACAAAAAGAAGGTAATGAGAATTACATTTCAACCAACGATTCAACATAAAAAGCACAAAAACTACATACAAACAACAATTTTAAATTATTAATGCTCATCTTTACAAGTATAATGAATGAATGTAGAATATCATCAAATTTGTGCAATGTAATATCAGGCTTTTAGAGAAAATAAAAAACACTAGAGTGGTAACAACTACAATGGTAAATGGAGTTTTCCCTTAGAACACTTTTTCACTTGTAACAGACTGACCATATCTACAGTGGTAATTACTGTAATGTGCTAATTATAGATGTCCGTTAAGAGCTTATGCAAGTGCACATTATATGAAGTTGTTTCCAACAACTTAGGTAGTGTTTGGTTTATTGAAATGGAATGGTCATTCCATCAAAATATCTATTGCTATGTTTGGGTGACTCAAAAAATAATGAAAAATGCATTGCAAATAGAATCGTCATTCACCATTGTAAGGGAATGATCATTCCATAAGTGAGCTTAAGGAATGCTCATTCCATTCCATTCCATCTCCTTCCTACAAACCAAATGGAGCATTAATGTCATTCTTTCTTTAATATGATTTTAGAGTTAGTGCGTTTTGATATCATACAAATGTAGTTCTAACCCATTCTATGGGAAAAGAATTGGACTGTTACAGTGCAAACAGAACTCCTTGATTGCTAAGTGTAAACTTGCTCAAGTGATTCATAGCTAATGTCCATTGACATTAAAAAGGCCTAAAAACAGAACCGTGGTATGAGTGTTTGATAATATGCAATTGAAGAAATTAAAATGATGGGCAAGTGAGTGCCTATCAAAAACAATTCTGAGGAAAAATTTACTCCGACATACAAAGAAAACCACTCAAATGAAATTTTCATTAGACTAAGCATTGTCAGCACAACTAGAGCAACCCATTGGAGCAAAAGCTACAAACATTTCATTTACAATAACACTCAAGCAAACTAAAACCAAGGGCATTCAAATATTCTGGGATTGATCATTGAATTTCAATGATTGCCATTGTACTAATTCCTCAAACCAATTACAATGATTAGTTGAGAAACAGTCCAAAAAAGACCTAGTTCATCGACAATATTTCCCTAACCTCCAAGAACTGAATTCAAGTTTGCGTTTTTATCAAATAGATTTTCATGCTCAATGCATTACCAAACAGTTATACTCAAAATCAACCAGCAATGCAAGAAAAAAAAATTGGATTACAACAAGAATTAAAAGATTCGAATTCAAAACCCTCGAAGTAATTAATAAGAAGCAAATCGATTACACACAACACAGCAAATTCAACAACACAATAATGAACAAAGATTTGTAATTCACCAACCTCATTCAATTGATTTGCGTTCGGTTTCAATTTCACTATCTTCCTCTCTCTCTCTCTGGTTCCTCCGTCTTCGTTCACCTCTCTCTCTCTCTCACAAACGCTATCATTGTTGAAATAATAATTGGCTGCCAACCGGGTCGGGGATACCTCTTCATTTACATGACGTGGCCAAAATTGATTCGCTTTTGGATGACATTTAAGCTTTGTTGGGTGACAGTCAAGAAGAAATTTAAAAAAATAAAAGGGAGACTTATTTATGAGTTCTATTTCAGATACTTATGCTAAGTTAAGTTTTGTGTAATTTTTTATAGAGTTTTAAATTTTATTTAAATAGAAATATATTCTACAAGATTTTATGAGTTGTAAATAAATGATATTAATATAATATTATATACTATAATGGCAAAACTATATATAGGAAATTGAATGTTACCCTAGATCACATTCAATTTAAAAAAGGGTTTGGTTATGGTGTGCAACTTACACCTTACACCTTATACCTTACACTTACACCTTACACTTACACCTTTTGTAAAAAATTAAACCTTACACTTACACCTTTTTTGAGGTTGCACACCATGTGCAACCCACTTACACCTTACACCTTACACTTACACCTTACACTTACACCTTATACTTATACTTACACCTTACACTTACACTTTTTGTGTAAGTGGCACATGGTGTGCACTTGCACACTTAAGAAAACTCCTTTAAAAAAATCAAAAACTTAGTAAGTTTACGAAACGTAACGTTGTTACGTTACGTTTATGTAGGTGTCACGTTACGTTACGTTTATGTACGTGTCACGTTACGTTTCGCAAATGTGTATTTTGAAATTCAAATTCACATTCATAGATATAATCTATGGTAACATTCAATTTCCTATATATGATTTTATTATTATTTATAATATTAATAATTAATATTGAGGGTAAATGTATCAACAAATTTCACACATGACTTATGGAAATATAAATTTTTTAGTAAGATCATATGTAGCATAAGGACTTATAAATAATTTTCTCAAAATAAAAAGAAAATAAATATAAAATTATATAAAATATATTTATATTTTATTCACATTTTATTTATTTTTATTTATTTTTTTTAATTTCTTTCTAAATCTTTGAGTTGAGAACATTTGGCATTTTCATTTGCTATTACAAAAATACCCTTGTAATGTCTAGGACTTTACCAATCAGTCATTGCCACGTCTGAACACGTATCTGCACATTTATCTTCTCAGTTTAAGTGTAATTCGTAAACGCTTGGAGTTTTACACAATTTTCTCATAATTACGTATTGATCCTCATATTTTTATCAAATGTTACATTTTTTACTTTTTTTTTTTATTTGAAAATTATAAGTATTTGAAAATTGTAAATACTCAAATTTTCACAACCCTATTTGGAAAAAAAAAATCAAAACATCCAATCTCTTTATTTTTATATATGTTTTTTTATAAAAAAAAATAATTAAAATCAATTAAAATAATTAATTCTCAAATGATTTCATCGCACTTCTATGAATTTTTATGTGCTTGTAGTACATATGTAACGTCAATTTTTTACACATAATCTATTTGACATTAACAAGACTAATGATAATTAGGATTGTTTTGAGAATTAGTTATTTTAATTTATTTTTTTAACTTTTTACGAAAAGATATATAAAAAAAATAAAAAAAAATTATTGACTTTTTTATAGTAACTTTTTAACATTTTAACTATTTTAAGTGGTTCTCAAACTTGACTTTAGCATGCGGCATTTGAGACATATTTTTATGACACAATTAAAAGTATAGTTTAAAATGAAATTTTAGTTAAAATATAAAGGCGTTAATGAAACAAGAAAAATATAATGTGTGACATGGTTTCAAATAATGATATTAAGGATGTATATTTGTCAGTAATATGGTCACATATCGATTGTTATCGGACAATACCTAATTGTACATATCTTCGTAAATAACAACATTAAAAAACCAAAATCTAATTATGTAGCGACTAATATGATACGTAATGGTCAATTTTTAAAGGAAAATAGTACACAAAGCTTACTTTTTAGACTTACTTTCTAAATTTAATAATGTGTAAGTGAGGTGATTAGTTAATGATTAGAAAATATATGGAAAAAAAAAACACAAGATTGATTGGTTAATTAATTATTAAATTTAAAAAGTGAGTCTAATTTTTTTTGTTTAAGCCTCCGTTTGGGAAGTGGGTTGACTTTTTGGCTTTTTGTTTTTTTGGCTATTTTAGCCTGGGCTAAAAAGTTTGGTTTGGGAAGAGCTTTTTGGCTTTTTTGACTTTTTTTGTGAGAGAAGAATGTAATGATTATGGGTTGAATGTGATATTTTGTTTTTTGTGGCTAAAATAGCCTATTTTATCTTTTGTGGCTAAAATAGCCAAAAAAAACTTACTCATGTTAAAAACATTTTTGAAGCTAGATAGACAAAATTATGATATTAAACTTGAATAAAAGTGCCAGGATCTTACTGCAAGAATTGAAAATGAAAGAATTAATATAAAGTTTTGATAAAAAATACATGTTACGTGCTCGTTTGGCTAAGATTTTGGGATTAAAAAAGTATAAAAAGACAAAATAATTTATATAAGTCAATAAGACAAAATATCACTTTTTATCCATAATCATTATATTTTTTCTCTTATAAAAGTTAAAAAAGTCCCAAAACAAAAACCAAATAAATCTAAAAAAATTGGATCAAAAAAGTTTCAGACTAAAAAAATTGACTATATTAACTAATGCGACCTC